CCCCCCCCCAAGCCTCTCCTCCCTCCCCAAACCCCCAGCTCCGAACACCCGAGCTGTAATGCTAACACACAACCCGAACCAAGGGGAAAACCTTCCCAATTTCCCATCTCCACCTTTGCATGCGAGATGTTGCTTCATATCCTTTTTATCCTCTTAGCGTTGCCACGTAGGAGGCAACTTAGCAAAAAAAAAAAAAAAGAGAGAAAAAAAAAAGAAAAAAAAAATAAGAATAGCGCAGCTCCTCACTGGGGGGCACATGCTGGGTTTTGTTTCTGTTCTCTTGTTGTCTTTCTCTATTTCTTTCTTTCTTTTTTTTTCTTTTCCTTCTCCCCACAGTGTAACACAGCCTCCTGTCGGAGCAGCAGCTTTCCCTGCTTGCAATTCTCTCCATGGAAAAACAAGACAAAAAACACAACCGGCTACAAACAACCCCGATCCAAACCCCCCCCCCCACACACACACACCTCCCCAACCAAAGCACGCTGCTTTTCTTCCTCCACATAAGGACAAAGCTTCGCGCTCACACCCGGCTCACACACGCACACTCACAAACACACACAAACACACGTTGAGGTGGCCGAAGAACCGGAGGATTTAATTAAACTGCCGCCAAGACAGACGCATTCGTAAGGCTTGCGTTTAATTGCACCCAACAAATCATTTTCAATTCGTCAACTTTACAGTGGGCAAATCTCTCAGTGCCAGCCCCGCTCCCGACTGTGCTGGGATTCTGTTTCCTTTTTTTTTTTTTTTCTTTGTTTGTTTGGTTGTTCTTTTTTTTTCCTCCTTCTTTTATATCTCTTTTTTTCGCTTTGTTTTATGATGCGGGATTTTATTTCCATCTTACCGTGGTAGATGTGTGACTTTGACCTGAAAGTTTAGTAGAACCCTTCCAGGCAAACCATCTCCCCCCCCCCTCCTTCCTTCCAACCCCTTCATCTGGTAGTTTTATACTGGGTCACTTGGAAGACGAGAGCAGACGGGGGGAGGTGGGGGGAGGCGAAAGGCTGTGTGTGGGGCACACTCAGAGCCGCATTGTAAATTATTTAGGAGAAAAAGGGGCGGAAGAACCCCTGCCAACTTATTCCTAACTTTTAGAGGGGAGGAAGAATGGGATTTTCTAGTTAAAAAAGAAAAAAAAAAAGAAAAACAACAACAAAAAAAAAACCCGACTACCTTCGTAGTGCTATTAGGGGAGGGGAAGGTTGTGTTCTTAGCGCTAGCATATTTATAATTTATTGTGAATTGACTTTTCCTAAAGCAGTAGGCTGTTGCAGAGATAAAGTGCCAACCCTGGCGTGTGTGTATTTCTTCCCCTCCTGTTTGCTGAGACGCTGTTAACGCTCGAGTGTTGGGAAGTTTGAGCTGCAAACGTTCCTGGCTCCGTTTCCCATCCGTTCCGGGGCCGCCCCAAACGTCCCCATCTCCATCCCCATCCCCGTTCCCATTCCTATCCTCATCCCCATCCCCATCCCCGTTGCTATCTCCATCCCCATCCCCATCCCCGTTCCCATCTCCATCCTCATCTCCATCCTCATCCCCATCCCCGTCCCCATCCCGGCTCAACGAGCGACACCAGGAGCTGCAGCGGCTCCTTTCTCCCCCCCCCTTCTCCCTCAAATCACTCTCTATAGCCCACCCAGCCCCGATGGTTTACGGCGAGGTCTCCCGGCATTCCGGACGGATGCTTTTCTGCTCTGACAGATCCGCTGCAGGTTTCTCCCCAACCATACAGGACTGAGTTTCCTTTATCTCTGTAAGACTTCACTTTGTTTTGGGAAGGGAGGGGGAGGGAACGAGGAGAAAAGGGGGGTGGGAGGGGGGGGGGGGGGGGGGTTGGATTAGTACCAGTTGATGATATGGTGGCTATTGTAAAATGTGGTTGTGGTTGTGCTTCTGTGAATGTCGAAGCTCGTTTTTCTGTTTTCTATTGTGGCTTTTAAGTATACGAAGGGTTCCTCGGTTGTTAGTTGGTGGGGAAAAGGATAATAATAATAATAATAATAATATGGAAATAAACCTCTCCCTTTTTCTTCGTGTGCAAGTTTGTATGTTTAGCTGCCAGGAGTCTGTTTAGGAACGAGGGGGTGTGAGATAGAGCGTGTTTTAAGGAGGGGAGGGGGGGGGGGGGGGGGTTGGGATAAGGAGAAGAAGAAGAGAAATCTGCTGTCTGTGCGGATGAACCGACGCAAATCTGTTCTGATAAGCTGCTGGGCATCCTTAGCACGAGGGCTGTGAGGCTGCTTTTATCTGCTGGGAACAAAAATGGCCCTGGGAAAGAGAGATAGGCAGATTTTGGAAAGTGTTCCCGTTCCCCCCCTTCTTTCCCCCTCCTTCTTTTCCCCCTCGATGCAGAGATAAGGGCTGGGAGCTGCGTTGAGGATCGCATCAGTTCAGCAAACTG